ATAACCCAAAACAGTCAGACTTTTATAGGAGTGAAATGGAAATCTTTACTGCTCTTAAAGGCTTCTAACACACAGCACATTCTTGCACATAGGAAACTTTCTTTGGTCGTGAAATTCTGAATGAATGTATCAGTTTAATTACACTGAAAATAGAAGTTGCAGTTCCCAACTCACTCTTGGATTAATGTAGTAGCAGTTGGGTCCTTTTTGTTATTTAATGCTTTACAATTTGTTCAGATGTAGAGTAATCCTTACCACTTTGACACAGAATGTTTGCAGTAATAGTGTAAAACCACCTTGTCCATAGCAGCACCCTAGAAGAAACCAAACCCTCCTGCTAGCCCTGATAAGGGGAGAAGTTTTTATTTCAGAGGTCCTGTCTTTGCTTCTCACCATGCAGCTCTAGTTTAATTGAAAATAAATTAAACTAATTTTCCTGACTTCAATCTGTTTCACTTAGTAGTTGTTAAGCCACGTCCTCATCTTTATCTCAACCCACAAACGTTTTCTTCCTACTTCTCCACCCTATTCCTTTGAGTAAGCTGCTGGATAGTCAGCTGAGGTTGACTCACCACACTGTGCTAGGCACAATCACTCAAATTTTTGCAATGAGAAATTTTCTTCACTATTCTGAAATCAAATCTTAGGCTTCAGCATCAAATTTCCTTCACTGTTTTCTTCAGTAATACCAAAAGGATCTACAGTTCTTGTTAGAGACTCTAACTCTGAAAATAATATATTACAAAAACACATGCAGTCATACAGCACTTTTTTTTCCAAGAAAATAAACTTTTTTTTTTTTTTTTTTTTTTTTAGCTAGCAAAATATACACTTTGAAAGTTCTTAATGTTGGACTAGAAAGGCAAAAATGTACTTTGTGTCAGTGCTGGCCCACTTTCCACTTCTCCTACGCTGGTTACAGAGTTCTCATTGTTTCCTGACCTCTCAGTTATTTTTTTCCAGTTTCACTCATGTTGGTTTTTTGTATTTGTCTTTTAAAGCCCAGTCATTGGGTACATTCTCCAGCCATATGTAAACAATTCTGAATAGTTCACTCAAACAAATCCAGGCATGTCTACATGTTCAAAATCTGTACAATTTCTCCGCTTTTTTATGGTGTATTTATGCAATAACTTGCAAAAAGAATTGCCTCTCAATGCTTGCACTAAAGCCCTTGGCTCCTTTATTTGTGCCTATACAGAGTTTAGTGTCACAATGCAGCAAATAGTGCCACTAAAATTACCCTGACTTAGAAATACTTCCCTCTTCTTCTTTTTTTTTCCCCCAAGTATCAGAAAAAGACGATTTTCATCCTCAATAAAAGTCATCCTCGCATTCTAGGAAGTCCTTGTGAAAAGTAAACACAATGATAAATCTAAGATGTATTATTTTTCATTAAAAAAAAATAAATCCCGGTACTGCTATTCAACATAAAAGGAGACATAATCCAGAACTAAGTGATATACTAGCAAAGAGGCATGCTGGTCACAATGTCTCATTTCTGATATTATAGTTATTCCACACTTGAAATCCACCTTACATCTAGACATGGCTTTCCTTAATCTTTTTGTGCAAGCAGTACATCTACAAAAGCCTACCAAGAAAATCCTACCACAAGTTTCTTTTTACAGCCCTAATTTCCTGATGTTTTTGAAATGCTAGTGTAATTGAGAAGGGGTTGGAGTATTGTGTGTGCTTTTCACTGCAAAATACTAATATTTCCAAAGTCAGAATGAAAGAGTATTTATGACATAAAAGTTACAGCCAGATGCTGCTGTCACTATCTCAAAATATAATCGGACTACATGAAATGGATTATTATGGCCTCTGTGGTTTTTAGCTTTATACTATTAAGAGTAACTTAGAAATAATGGAAACTGATATTGATGGGATCTGTTCTTGATTGTACACAACAAGGCAGCCAGAAATGCTTAAGGAAACCAAAACAACAATAAAAGTAAATGAAAGATCTAGTTGCAGGCTGCAGATGACTCTTATTTCTCATACCACATTTTAAGTAAAAATTTGGAAGTTTAGGAAACTTACTTAGCATCTTTAATGATCCTTTGCGTATGACTTCAATGATGAAACAGACTAAATTGAAAAAAAATGTTTTAGGCTGTTAAACTGTATAAGGTAGTGTAATTGAATTGACTAAGCTGAACTGGATACAAAATTTGAATACTTCTTAGGAGGTGCTTACAGGTAGATACATTAACAAATACGTTCTAAACAAAGCTGGACAGGATGAAAGGACAGATGAATAAAATCTAATATTTATATTAGCCAGAGTGCTAATTTTCACATGTTGCAGAGTATTACACAGAAAGAATTGAAGAAAGGAATTTACAGTATAGTATAATCACTTTTAAGCCTCAGACATCAGTGCATAAAAACCATCCACAAAGTAGTTACATCTGCATAATCTGCATCAATCAGAATATAGATAGCAATAAATGGATACAACATAGAAATAATTTCTTCCTTATACAATAGAACTAGAGTAAAAACTGAATGAAAATACATTTTCCCATTTTGCTACCAAAATAAAAAGAGAGTAAGGAAATTAATTTTCAAGTTGAAAACGCTTCTCTTGTAGCTACATTTATATACCAAAACAAGACAAAATGTGCTTTGTGCAATTTTTTTTTAGAACCTTGGAGACATTCTAGCTTGATTCTTAAGGGACATTTTCAGCATTCATGTGGTCTACAACCGATTACAATTTCCTACAGGAGGCATGTAAGCATTGTCAAGCTCATGCAGCACTACTGATTTGTTACATGGCTGCTTGCTTTGTTCAAGGCATCTGCTTGGTTTTTTAGTTTGCATATACTGTTGTTGTATCACTCATGTTTCCCAGATATACTTCACTGTTTCAATGTTAACACTGAAGAATTTAACCAAAAGCAAGTTTTAAACAGATGTTTTAAACTGCAGCTGAATCCATACTCTACTGCACTACAGTATCCGAAGTTTTGCCTCATTGACAGCAGTTCAGTCCAAACCAAGGGTTTCTTCTAGATTTTGCAGCAATCCATGGAAACAGAGTCTTGAGAGATGATGTCTACATTGCATTGTTACCTTATTTCTGAGAGATTCAAATCTCAAGGGACTTAGAGATCACACAAACCTCGTCCTAGCATGATGTTGCAAGTGGTACCTTCAGAACTGGCCTGTGTCCCACTTCATCTTTTAATGTCTACCACACCCTCCAAACATTTGTTCTCCCTCAGGAAAAATGCCTTTAGGGTGGCTGCTAGGCTCCTCTCTTCAAGCAGCACAGTTGCAATCCCAGATACTGAGAAAGATGTGCTTGTATTTAGCTGCTTATGGCTGTATTCACTGTTCCTGCTCTAAAATGAATTTCAACTTCCATAAGAGAAAGAAGCTTGGCAGTCAGGGCTGACTTTTGGCTACACCTTATTTAGGCTAAGGAATTTCTTGGGTGTAACATAGATGAGCAAATCTAAGAGTCAGAAGGAATGCAGGACAACGTGGACTTCAAGATGGTAGCAGAGGGAAAAGAATCCTCCATGGTATGTTTAACTTGCTTTTCCAAGTTTGCCACAGTAAAATGCCTACTTGGCAGGAGTTAAGTGAGTTTATATGGACACTGCAGAAACCCATAGTTGTGAGTTAGATACGGAAATTCTTCTTGCATGGGTCAATCTATGAATATCTATGCACGGGTTCTGTACTGACATTTATGTTTTGGCCAGCCTGACAGAGGGAAATTAACCTACTGAAAGAAGACAGGTGAATTCTAGTGTCATGTCTTACAGAAATAACCAAGGGTTCAGAAAACTCCTGCAGGAAGGCTCAGCACCTGATGTGTCTGCTTCTGGATCTATTCCAAACATCAGTTGTGCTGTGGTTTGAAAACACTTTGCCAACATGGCTGAGGCTTTCTGCATACCTGACATAATATAAATATACTGCATAATATCTCTGAGGGATTTGTGGTGAACCCAAAGGTGACTGGGAGTGGAATCTGGCAATAATTATCATTCATGACCACAGAGAATATAATCATGGCTATGGTGCAAGTACAAAGCACTTGGCAGCTGTGTTGTGAGATATTTGTCCTTTCCCAGAAGTCAACTGCTATTCTAAGACATGAAGTGATGATAATGACTTCAATGCCCATGTCTATTTTGGTGCCACCCAAAGAAGGAGGAGATAGAAAATGAGAGCAAGATCTACACCACTTGCCCTGGATGCCAGATTACCTTTCAATCTGGTCCCTCACATTCTGCATCTGAAAGGTTGAAGAGACATGGCTCACCTGAATGTGTGCAAAATGGAGGACATGGACCTGATCTCCAAGAACTTTAGGGACAGAACAAAACTGTTTAACATCTGACAAATCCTGGACAGCCTCCAGGATTGGAGTCAATTGGAGTGATTTGGAATCAACAGAACTCCAAAATTATCTAGGAACATATCAAAGGGTGCTAAGAGGGTCAAATAAGACCTGCCTTGGGGTTGACTGTATCTATGGGTGGTTTTTGACATTGAACAATCTGAAATTGGATACCAATCATATACTGTTGGGGCCTTAGAAGAAAAAAAGATGAAACTCCCCACCAAACTGAGGTACTCCTCAAAATTTCACTAATTAATCTGTACAAAGTGTAGAGTGCTAATCCTTAATACAATCCTTAATCCATAGATATGAATTTTTCAAATTATGGTTTTGGATCCTTTTATTCCAAAATAAAATTTAAAATTCCATGCTTAATACCTTACCTTCTCTTTTTTGATAAATTTCAGACATCCTATCAAATAAAGAAGGGAACTGGTTTTTACATTGCAGTATTTGAAATAATCAAACTTGTACATAAAATTATTACTGCTATCATTGGCTTACAGTTTACCTTATTGGAAGTCTTAGCAATGCATTGACTTTTTTCTTTTAGAAACTAGAATCTCCTCCCATATATTTGAAATCTATGATTTCATCAGCTAAAGGGAAAATGAAGTTAAAATGTACTCACTTATTTTATTTCTCACTTCATTTAATTTCTCTCCAAGGCATTTAGCTTCATCAAACCTGTCAATGCAAACATAATGATACAGAATTATTCTAAAGAACAAATAGTTCCAGAAGCTTATCATAATAAAATACAGAATTACTCAGTACTAGTTTTTCATTTGTAAGTAGAATTAACTGGAAACAATTTTCCGTTAGGAGAGATTGTCTGGTCTAAGAGAAACTATCTAGAAGAGTCTTGGTCTAGACAAAGAAACTGAAGAAATCCACAAATTGTACTTCTGTCCAACTCAAAAAATATCAAAACAGAGTAAACAAATATGGCTTCTCCCTACAAAGGTGGGATATGAAAAAGTTTCCCCTTCTCAATTAGTCCATTTCTTCATAAGACTGGAACAAGTTAGAATTTCAAGTTCCTACTTGGGTATCTGCTCACAAACATATGCTTTCAAGGCTGAATTCCACAAGGCTAAATGGCTGAAGCTGGAGGGTTTCTGGACACTTACTCTTTCTTACACAAAAGAGGTGGAAGCCATTGAAGCTTCTGTTAGATATTAGAAAAGCTTTTTCTACTGGGGTTAACTTCGAGCCCCAAGCAGGCATTAAGGATTGCATAAATATCAAAGGAAAGAAACCCTGAAGTACCTCTCCCCTTCTTTCTCTCAGGTTCCATAATAATTTCATCCATTATTTATTACTTATTAATTCCTGAGACAAATCTCATGTTGGCTGTTGACTCTGATTCTTGTTCACAGAGAGATGTATCTGGAAAAGTTGAAGCCAGATATTTATCCAGCCTTTATTCAGAGGTTACTACCAATAATTGAATGGGTTGCGCATCTGTTGTTCAAACACTATAGTTTATAAACCAGCACAATAACATAAACTGAAATTTGGCATGAATTTATGATATTTCATCAGATTCCATCTGTGACTATGAATCCTTGTCAAGCAAAATAAGTCAGGTAAATCACAAGACTTGACTCTAATATTGAATGGGACAAAGCTATTTTCAATACTTTAATAAAAAAAAGGGTGACATTATCTAGCATTAAGGTGATATGCATAGTGATGACTGAACAATTATATTCTTAGCTGAAAAAACTTCATGTATATCTTACATGGAAACCATGCAACAGAAAAGGCTGAAATTGCCAAATCATGGTTTCTATTACCTACAAGATAAATACTCCACAATTAAACCCCAGAGCGAATTTAGCCACTAATTTTAGTGGAAAAAGCATTTTTGGCAAAGATTTCACTCTTTGAATGCAAGTGCCAGTAATTAAAATATAAACATCTTGGAAAACAAATCTCTAACTCATCATGTAAGCTAAGACAAACTCAGAGGTTGTCTAATGAAAGAGACATTCAGTGAATTAAATGAGTATTCACTTGTTTTTAATTATTAGAAATTACAACAACAAGTGACCCAAGTGAAACTCATCCTTTCCATGAAACTTGCCCATAGGTACTGAAAAAACAAGTTAACTGTTAGCCAGCTAAAAACCAGAAAGCTAGGAACAAAGAAAATGGGATAAAAACAATAGAGAACAACAAAAAGCAAAGTAGATTTACATCTCATCTATAAGCTCAGTAGAATTTTACTACTGGAAATATTGTCTAAGATGGGATTTAGAGGCTTTATGCAGTATGCATGACATTGGAGTGGCACAACTGGAAAGATTTCTTGGTAGAATATTTCACCAGAAAATGGGATGCATTTTTCTACTCTTCAGAGAAACAATCCTAAGAGAACATGATTGCATTAAGAAATAGGATATTATTAACTTCTCTGGAAGTCAGGTATAGAAAGTTCAAATTGCAGAAATCTGATTCTGTCCAGGTATCAACACGGGGCAGTTTCTTTTAAGCAAGGAAGCAGTTATTAATGCATGGAAGAAAAATGAAAAAGAATTGCTGCAAAGCTGTAGAAGATCACATTTTCTAGCTTACAAAGGCACTTCCCGTAGGCAACTTGAATTGAAGGCAAATTGACTCAATTTTGTTTCACTTGAATTATCTTTCACTATATCAGTTTTCCCACTTTTTAAATTCAGAGACATTACTGAGTTACAGTATAAGCTACTGCACCTGTGAAGAGCTCTGAAGTAGTAGGTGAAAAGGTTTCTTCAAAAACAAATTTTTTCTTATATATATATATATATATATATATATATATACATATTTAACAAAACAAATGACTTTCAGTATTTAATTAGTTGACTGTGTTTGATCATTTTTACACCAGTAGTTACAGAAAAAATACATCTATATTTTTATAGGTATGGCTATGCATAGTCACATCTCTATGAATAATTTCACAGCCCAGGCAACAGTTGTGACCTTCACAGTGAAACTTCCAAGGCTCACTGACAGTTCACCATTCAATTACTATAAGAATGATATAATGCACACTTGATGTCTTACTGAGATGAGCCAGGGGCTCCTGAGGCAGTAGGAGCCAACAGGGGAACACCAAGGAAATACTTCAAAGGAATTAAGGTGTGTTCTAAGAAGATGGAGTGGCCAACAGCTAAGGTGCCTTTCTACCAATGCATGCTGCATGGACAACAGACAGAAGAAGCTGGAAGTCACCAGACTGGTAGAAAGCTGGGACCCAGTTGCCTTTACTGAAACTTGGTAGGGCAAATCCCATAACTTGAGTGTGCCTCCCAGTGGCTACAGATTGTCTGAAGAGACAAGTAAGGAGAAAGGGTGCTCTCTAAACCAAGAGGCAGAGTGTGAAGAGCTGCCTCTGAACAACAGTTATCTGAGCAGGCTGATAGCTGATGGTAGGAATCAGAGACTGAGGCAACAAAGGGAACTGAGTGGTTGGCATCTACTACAGGATGCCTGATCAAGGGGAGCCTATTTATGAGGCCTTCATGCTTCAGCTGATGGAGGCATTGTGCTTACTGGCTTTTCCCCCCTGGAAGACTTCAAAAAAGTCAGCATTTGCTGAAAAAGTAGCATGGCAAGCAGTAGGCAATCAAAGAGACTCCTGGACTGCATGGAGGATAACATCTTAAGCAAGGGAATAGACAGCCTTACCAGAGCGACGTGATACTGGGCCTGTTGGTCAACAAAGTAATGAGCTAATTGGAGACATCAAGATTGGAGGCAGCCTGAGCTGCTGTGGTCATGCATTGGTGGAGTTCTCAGTCCAGAGGGATATGGGTCAGGGGAAGAGTAAAGTTAGCTTCCAGCTCTTCAGGGAGTTAGTCAATAAGATCCCCTGGAAAACTGCCTTCAGGGAAAAAGGCATAGAACAAAGCTAGTAGGTCTTTTAAAATGTTTTCCATGAAGTGCAAAAACTCAAAACCCCCAGGAGCAAGAAATCAAGCAAGGAAGGCAAGAGACCAGCATGACTGAGTTGAGATCTGCAAATCAATCTAAAGTAAAGCAAGCAGGAAATGCACAGGCAGTAGAAGCACAGGATAACCTAGGAAGAGTATAGTGATGCTGCCTGTGTAGGGATTGGGCCAGAATGGTTTGGGAATGGCATTTTCTGATTTAGGAGTCCCACTAAATAAAACACACTTCCACTTGATCCCTGTCCAATTGGAAGCAGGAAAGGCAAAGGTTATCATTTGAGATAAGAACAATTTACTGGAAACAGCAATGAAATAAGAAAATTATTAATAATAGCAACAATATTCATAACAAAAGTGTGCAAAAGAGAAAGTTTGGAGCTTGATCCAACCACAGCCATGCCATCCAAAGTGCTCCCTTCAATTGGGACCTGTGTTACCCCACCACTCTGTCTGCCACACTTCCCCCATGGGAAAAGGAATGCTCTTTTCTGAAATGAAAGAGGGTTAGAGTTAGGTTATCCTCTTCTTCTGCCCCTGGCCATGACATAGCATGGTACTGAATAACAATAGGGTCTTTGTTACACCCACATGGCTCCAGGCCTTGCCCCTCATGGCTACAACAAAAAATTAACCCTGTCCTTAGCCAAAACGAGTTACACTCTCATCACCTGAGCTAGGACCAAAGCCCCTATGCAGTGAGTGAGCCAACAAATGAACTGCTTAACTCCCTGCACTTACCACACACAGTTAGACAACATTTCCTTACTGGCTAAACCCTGATTTTCCCATAGCAGAGACTCAGATGTCTGGGTCCTTAAAATAATTTAATTATGATGCAACAGCAGGATAACAGCTTAAGCTGGTGCCTCTGAGGAGGGACCCTGAACAAAGAAAACCCTGGATTTTTTTACCCACAGTCTAAAAGCATGAAAGTCTCTGCCCTTCATCCTGAAGCAAGGGCTACTACTGTGTCTCTAAGTGTCTGTCCACCTGGCTGGAACCACCAGGTCCCTGTGTCCTTTGTTATGCAAAGGGTCAGCGCTAGTTCAAGGCCTCTTGCCTAGGGCTCCTGCCAACCAGAGCTCAAAGTGCAGCTGCACACCAAGCTACCAGCACTCAATGTATGCAACACCACTGTGTCCAGTTCTGGAGCACAGGAAAGACATAGACCTGCAGTGGGACCTTGAAGTGGGTCCAGAGCAGGGCCCCAAAAATCATTAGAGGGCTGGAACACCTCTCTTAGGAAGACAGACTGAGAGAGCTGGAGTTGTTCAGCCTGGAGAAGAGAAGGCTCCAGGATGACCATACTACAGCATTTCAATATTTAAAGGGAGATTATAAGAAAGATGAGGACAAATGTTTTAGCAGGGGCTGTTGTGATAGGACAAGGTGTAGTGCTTTAGACTAGGTCTAAGAGAGAAATCTTTTACAATGAGAGGGCTAAAACACTGGAAGAGATTGTCCAGAGAAGTGGTGGATGCCCCATCCCTGGAAACATTCAAAGTCAATCTTGACTTTGCTCTGAGCAACCTGATCTAGTTGAATATATCCCTGCTTATTGCAGCAGGATTTGACTAGAGGACTGTTAAAGATTCCTTCCAACTCAGCCTTTCCAACTTTGACTCTATGATAATTAGCAAACCAAGAGAATCTACCCAAAATGCCCAAAGGAAAAAAATAAGATGGCTAAAAATAAGTAATTTGTGAACCAAACACTGTTTGTGGTATGACAGAAGTGGTTATGCAACTATAAACAAAATTATTAACAAGAGAAGCCTACATATAAAGGGAAGCTATGGTAACCTTTAAACATGTGGTGTCCACACTCTTCCTGTGCAATTTGAACACTGGCTGGGTAACAGAGCTTTTGTGTAACTAGTAGTTGAGAGGCTGCATTCCAAATTACAGACTGGATTTCATACAAATCCATTCTAATGAACTCGGTAAACTTGGAGCTGAGCATCTTTGCTAAAAATGACTGCAAATGGCAGGGGAAACTGCCTGTTTCAAAGTATCAAAATTCACATTAGCACTGATTTCAGCAATCAGCTGATGCCTATTAGAGAGGGGCTACACAAGGCATTAGTATGAATCTTTGTCCTTTAAGGAAAGCAAATCTGTCATAGAACTTAGTAGATTCCGCTCATCTCTATTGTATATTCTGAAACCAGAAGGAAATACTGGTTTGCTTCATAGTAATAACATCCAGAAAAGTATGGAAGAATTGTTATTGACTAGAGGAAGGGCAGAGCATGGCTCAGAACCATATTGTTCTCATGGTCATGCTGCAACTATTAAGTGCTCTATTGAATAGCAACACCAGAAATTACTGCAGTGTAATCTTTTATGCAGTGATGAGGCAGTGCTGTGGCATGATCTGATAAATTGATCAGAAAAAAGGCATTGCTAGACATCCAGTTTACATGGATAAATACTTACATACACCTAATATCTTAGCAATTTGCTTTCCTGTGGCTGAGGTATAGATCCAGATAAAAAGTTAATCAGTTCAGAAAAGTGATAAATAGCAGGAACTTGAGTAAGTCACAAAGATGTGGAGATCATTTCAATATTACTGAAATAAATGAGTATAAGACTTGGTGTGCCTGAAAAAAAAGTCTTCCATGCCTGTGAAGTAGAAAATTGTGTTAAAGAAAACAGAAGAAAGCAGAAGAAACCTGGAGAAGGAGAAAACCTCAGAACAAAAAAACTCCACAAAAACCAAACCAAATGATAACATCCTACAATCAAACAAACACTTCCCTGAACCAAATAGAAGAAAACAAGCAAAATAGCCTCAAGCAACTCTTAGGGGAAACATGTAAGTTACAAACACAGATTGAGAGATTCATGTTTGCATCTGCAATCTCAAAGCCATGCATTTCTTTTGCAGTACTAGGAGGGTTAACACTTGAAAAGCTGACAGTGAAGCAGTACTGTTATCCAACCAACATAGGCAAGTGTTGGTGGTTTAATTTGTGAGGTTTAAAATCTGTATGAAAACCCATGTTTTCAATGTTTTGCCATTATCACTATTTTCACCAGACATATTAAGTGTTTTGCCAACATTAAAAACAAATGTGGAAGACAAAAGTATTATTTCTGTTTGTGAATGCAAAACTGGAAGAAAGAAGCTAAGATCACTTGGCAAACAGGTTAGGGACACCAGACATGCATATGTTAAGCATCTCCTAGTTTACTATCCAATTCAGTGCTGAAGTCAGTAAAGCATTTTTGACAATGGAAATTGGAGTAATTGATTCAGTCCCATGGATTTTACTTCCCCTAGATAATTCTTGATCATGAATGTCATTGCCATGTTGCTTCAACATGGTTGTGAAGATGAATAAAACCAGCAGGAATAAGCACTAAGATTCCTCATGCTATTTTCATTTCTATCCAGACTTCTCTTCTATCACCACTCAGTGCCTTCTGAATATGAAATGTCTTAAGTAAGAAAAGGTGAAGGGCCTGTAACGAGTCCTCAGCAGAAACCTGGGATGTCTAGTGTAAAATTATGTGTTCCTGCTCAGACTGCTAATGAACCCTCAGATGTCTTCCCCAGCTGTATTTTCCTATGACACCCACCTCTGCTTCAGAAGCTGTTTGTTGTCCTCAATGGTTATACTGTCAGCATGGTCCTGCTTGAAAATTTCAAAAGCTTCCTGACATCCAAGTGACATCTTTCCTCCTGGGCCAAGGTAAAAAAAAAAAAGAGAACTTCTTCAGAGTCATCAAAAGATAGAGATTTTGCACTTATTTAAATCCTTTTTTAGATAAACCCAGCAAGTTAGCCCAGGGGTCTTAAAGCAAAGAGAAGACTAAGTTTGATTTTCCACTGATTGGAAAGCATTTTTGACAAAAGATTTCTAGTATCTGAAAAATTTTATTTCACATCACTTCTCTAAAGTCTCAATGCTTGAGGTATATCATTCCTCTAGATAATTTTAAATGTTCATAAGTAAAATTGAACTTCAAAAATTTAAAATATGTGAAATATTCTTAAGTGCGTGCCAGAGGTATTTTCACAACAGCACAATGCAGTTTGTTTCTGCATTTCTTCCATCTGTTTCATATTGGGCCCTAAGTATACCTTGAATATTTTCAATATTCTTGGAAGAAAAAAATCAGGCTTCTTTAATAATGCATTAGCAAATACTTTTCCATACCCTTTTAGGTAAAGCAAGAATTCTACATACACAAATGGTTGGTGCCTTTTTACATCGGCAACATGGTGCTTGTTTCCTTTTGTGCACAACAATGTCAAGACTTATCTGGCATTCAAATATTTTAAAATCATTAGAGAAAAATATTACAGTCTGTATTATTTTCAGTTCTTACTGCTGGATGATCTATATATCCAAGTAAGATACATTGTATCTGTATTATTATTAACAAAAACATTCAAAGGCTTAAGGAGAATGAGAGCTTATGCCAGCATCTGTGTTATCACCAGTATGTATATGTCAATAAACTAGCAAGAAGAAAGGATGAGACTTGTACTTAAATAAACTATGGGAATGAAGACAGTTCAGGAACAGAAAGGAAGAGGACTCTAACACAAACTTTGTGAAGAATGCAAGATAGCTCCACCTTTAATTCAACCTCCAGGTTGCAACTTAAACCTCCAAAATTATATTCCTTAAATTGGAATTTGATTCTCTTTTGATTTTCCCCGAGTCTTTCTTTTATCCTGCCCAGAAGTCTGCCTTCCTCCCTCACAGCTATCCGAGACCCCCAAATCCATTTTGAACAAGAGCTGTAAAACTCCCTAGGATTTCTGCTGTGCAAGAGTTTTCTCTATGTTTAATGCCAATAGACCAGCATTACCAGTAACATATGTGCATATGCCAGTTCTTCTCCAGGCTACCTGCTTTGTAATTTTGGTGTAAGGTTTTTCTCCTTCTCCGGGTTTCTGCAGTTTCTTCTGCTTTCATTAACACATTTTTCTTATTTCATGGACATGAAATACCTTGGTTTTGGGGTCAGCATCACCAAGTCCTATACTCATTTACATCAGTGAAGCTGAGGCAAGAAATAAGCAAAACATGCCTAAACAGGCTGGGATGTGCAATACTGGCGTGTTACCCCTTACTGATCCATAAGCTGCATTTTAAAGTAATTCCAAATATATTCTGGTGCACCTCATCATAGTATATCAGGATAAGTTCCCACTGACTGCAGCAAGATTTCTGTGATATAAGATACTTTTTATACAGAAGGCTGGTAGCAAAAACTAGGACTCAGGGATCAGTAAAAGTGTAAAAAGATTTCTTTAAAATACAGAGAAAATTTTACCCCTTTTCTGTCAAGAGAATCAGGCCATCTGTTACTAATTCAAAAATTTTGACTTGAAAATAGAACCACCGGGAATGTCTGAATGGCAAAGCCTGCAGAAATGCTCCACCCTTTCTGTATATGAAAATCAAGGAAAGATAGAGTACACTATTTACTGCTGTGTGATCCAAAAGAGTAAGAGAATTCATGAAAATATTTTTTTTCTGAGGTGATGACCTGAGAGTGTAATGTTCATGTTTCATGCTTGCCTTGTAGAAAAACAGGCAGCTTTGTGAGCAGAATTTTATAGTACATTCATCCCATCTCTAGCACTAATTTTAACATGCAGCCTGAATTGACCCCCTAGAATTGCTTTTGTTGCAGAAAAAGCTTGTACTAAGTGAAGAAGGCCTGGAAAAAAAATCATGATCAAGCCTAAGATAAACAATGACATGCCCTTACTCATACATAACACTGCAATGTAAAGTATTTAACTCTTCTGGCCATGTGCTGCCTTTGACAGTACAAATAAAAACAGTAAAGTAAGTTTGGAAAACAAAACTATTACAGTGATTATTGCTACTGCCTGGCAGAAATGCATCAACCAAAATTAAAGGTAACCTGATAATAATTTTCCAGCACTAGCTTGAAAAGGCATCAGATTTGTACAGCCAAACAAAGCACACAAAAATAGATCCCCAGAACACTTTGGAAGGGGAAATTTTCTGGTTTACACTGTTCATTTTAAGAAAATACAGAAACATATGAAGTAGTAAACAAACCCACTCTGGAAATAGTATAAATGGAATGAAACTTAGGACTATTGAAATTGTATTTCAGTATAATATGAGCATACATCAGTTACAGAAAAATGTTGCAGCCTATGGGTAATGGCAGTGACATTTATGGAGAAAATAAGGGAAGACAATTATATTAATAACAGTAAAAAAAATGCAAGAGACGTTGAAAGCTTGATGGAGTAGTTGTGTTTTCATTCTGCTCAGTAGTGAAGCTTATTTCTTTTCCAGGTTGATGTGGTATCTTCAATCATGATGTTTACATTTCCTTAAATAATCTGTAATTTCATAAAATAGGCTCACCTTCTTTCAAATGACCTCCAAGTGCCATGGTATATTAACATTATTTGGCATCCTGTTTTTCCTGAGCTTAATTCTAACAAATAAGCTCTATGTTATTTTAAACAAGGTGTTATTGGATTTCTTTTTCTCTAGCTCTGAAATTGAAATCTATGTACAACAATGCCTATATTATATAAACAAAAACAGAATTAAGAGAAGAAACCAACGATAAGGACAAAGTTTTGGCAGGATGGTGGAATAGTTCAGCTAAAACTTCTAGAGAAAACAATTTATTTCACTCAAAGAGCCAAAAAAAATCCTCCTCTCCTTCTTAATTACCATGGCATAATGTTACAAAGTAAATATTTGAAAATTCTTATCTAAGGAAGAACTATCATATCATGCAGGATGAGAACCAGGAAACACATGTCATCAAGTCATTACAATGTGACCTGGAATAGTCATTACCATAAAAATAATTCACATAATTGGAAAAAGCATAAAATTTTCTTTCAATCGCATTCATGAAACCCCAGTTGACAGAATTGCATAAAAAAAAGATAAGAGAAAAAGTTTGTATCAACCTAATTTTAATGATACCTTTCCTGTTAGATTGTGTAACTTGGCTTGAATACTAAAACACAAATATGCTCAACTCACACAATGAAAAATTTGCAGCAAACCCATCATCATTTATAGCAAATTCACATAGCTGCAATTTTTGGTAAAATTCAGGTTCAATCCACATCATGAATTTGTGTGTTTAGCAATGTTCTCATTGAAGGTCTGATTTCAGTCTGTTCTCTGACCCAGTGAGCTCTCTCAACTTTCATATTAAGCAAAAAAATTTGGTTCAATAAGCTCCTCTGCTGAAATGTGCAAATTACATCTGTCCCACTGAATTTGCCTAAGTCAGCAGGGTGGCAGTGATGTCTCCCAAGCTCTGAACTAGAACAAGATCTGACATGACCAAGAAATAGAAAGGTTCCTGTGGTATTGATAATGGGCTAAACTCTCAAAACCAGTAATTATTCAAAATACAGTTAGCAAAAACATAATGAGGCTTTTGAATGCTGTTGATTGCTTTTTAAGGTGAGAAAAGACAAAAGGGATTCAAGGACTCAGTTGTATGTCTATAGGAGGTAGAAGCCTGCATATCAGTCAAGACCCTGGCAGACATTGTGCATGCTATTCTATCACTAACTTAGAGATTTTAAGCATTTATTCTGTGCTGTTTCATACAACATGCTATTTACAGCCATCCTAAACACCAAATGTTAATTTTAAAGAAATTTTAATTTTAAAGGAATATTTAGGGTAGGTGTGTGGTGCCCTGTTGTGGCGCTGGGTCTTCAACTGCCAACAAAGAAATTATTTGGATGAATGCTATTTTTAAATTAAATAGTATGAACTGGAATTATTCAAGGACTAGACTGAGTAGGTAGGAGCATGCAAGGGGATAAACATAGGCCTTATTTTGTTTTTAAAAGTGATCAAACACAGTTTTCTATTTACATGACCATACTGATTTTTAAATGCATCTAACACCAACAGATCCTATTGCAGCATGTATTAGTGATCAAAATTTATAAATAGCAGATATTTTTAAAGTACTTATTTTAGTGGGTTTTTCTTTTTTTTTTCTTCCCATACAAATTTCAAGACTGCTCAATCTGGAAAAGGCATTTCCAGTCTTGAGTCTGGCCACCTTCTGTTTTTGGTTTGTTGTAAAAGGGTTATTCCTCAGAGCAAGATGATGTTCATAAAGTTTAATGCATGAAACCTACAGGAAAAATTTACATTGCTCTTCACTTAGGTCTGGGAAACTCTGTCAAACAATAGCATAAAATTGACATCATCTCTGTCTGAAAGCAGAACCACAGTGTCTCCTCACAATACCACCCTGTAACCAGATTTTGGTCCTGGTATGAAGGCTCTGAGGAGGTTTCAGCAGCCCTCATGCCAGAGGCTGCTGGTTTAACCCACAAAAAAATTGGAAACAACTCTCCATAAGAGAAGTATTAAGATTGCAAGTTGATCTGTTCTGAGGGAGGAACATTAAGACTGTTGACAAAAGCAAACTCTTGGGAATAACTGTTCAGACAATGTATTCTGATGAGAAACGCATCTGTCCACATATCTGCCCATGTATCTGTTTTGCAGAAACTTCATTTTCAGAGTAAAAGACTTTCTCATTCTATTTTCTATCCATTGTTACTAAGTGGTCTGTTAGACAAGAGTTATCAACCCTTCCACTGAAATCAATAGAAGCAAAGAGTCCTCTTGGCTGAAGGAAAAGTCTCATTCAAGTGAGGGTAGTCTGAAGAATTTCAGGATACCAACTAGCATGAATTGTGAGTCTTCATGCTTACGAGGACTGTCAGCCTGTTTGGGCTACTATGTATTTCCACATATTATCAAATGGGAACAAAGGAACTGCAAAAACTTTCAAAGGAAACTAAAGACAAATTATTTGGTAAATCTTTGCTATAGAACTAAGGTATTAGAGGTAATGTAAGCACAATTCATTACATCTTTACCAGGATCCATCAAGATGTCATAGCCATCTGTTCAGAATGGAAAAAGATGTAACTGAGCTTGCAACATTGAGTCAATAAAGAATAAATACTTACAAATAGGCAAGCAGATGGCAAAAGGATATACAACAAATACTTCCCCACTATGCTGAGCATTTAGCAATGCTCAGCTAAATTTCTCATGAAAAACGTCTGTATTACATATGGCTATCTTCACTAAACTACAATTCAAAAATGAGAAAGACATAAAAAGGTTGCTCACAGAACTCCTGCAGTGTTAAAGTTTCTGGGGAAGTTAAAAGCTTTGAAGGAAAACCAAAATATTCAGATGCAACGAACTAAATAAAAGTAAAACGAGCATAAATTAATTTCTCTGGCTCTGGAGTTTCTTTGTTTATTTAGAGGGGAGGAAGAGGGCAAAAGGAACAATTTGTTGAAACCCTGAAAATGATGAACAGCAAAGAACAATCTTGCATAGAAGCATGAAGGACACAAATCAAGGACAAACACTATTTCTAATGCAATTAATATAACTAAGAATGGGATTACTTTAAGATTATTGAAATAAAACAGAAAAACCCTAGATATTTCATATAGTGTCAACTCCATAAAAGTCAATTTTTATAAAGTTCAACTGAAATGCTTCCAAAGAATGCAGCAACTAACTAATTACAAGAATCACATAAGGAGTAGATTACTACATTAATTAATATTCTTCTGCAGGAGTAGTAAGGAAAATATTGAACTGTATTTCAAAACCCAGGGTTAAATGAAGTATAACCTTAATTTTAAAGAAGATGAAATTGACTATTTTAAGATTGTCTAAGACCATAGAACAACAACAAAACTTTAAATGGGACATGATAGCTGAATTTAATCACGTTGAATGTCTTCAGTTTCATTATTTTAAGAAATCTCAAGTGGCAGTGCAGGTATGTTTTTAACTCCTCTACTTTTGCAACAAAAGCCACCTGACCTTTAATGTCTAATGAAAGAAACGTGGTTTACTGAAATGTGGTGAATCTGGTTGAATATCAGGTTGATCTTAGAGCGATATCTATGTGTAAAGATGGAAACTATTGAAATATTGCTCCCACATTTTCCTCTTCTGGAAAATTAGTATACCAGTTTGCCTCCCTGTCAAATGTTGCAAAGCACAATTTTAGAGAGAATTGCAGGATAAAAGGAAACTGTTAATAGCAACTAAATATGGTAATGACTTGTACCTGATAGAGCATATATTTTCCTAGATGTCAGACTCAGGATCATTTTGGTCTGATTATGTTTTTTGTTTCTTACGGATTTCTCAGATATAATTTGTTATATTTCTCAGATATAATTTTTAGTACCATTTCTCTGATTACATGGCATGGAATCAAGATGGTCTAGAATATCTGTACTAGAACTGATGATTTACAGCATGTCTACTTTTCTGTTGCCTAGTTATGTTAGTATATTCTCTTTAAAAAGCCAGTGGGCACCAGTGTTATCAATGCCAAAGTTGGAGCATAGAAACGAGAAAGCAGTTTAAGGCTATTTGGCAGAAACAAAATGTTTACATATCTCAGCAGTGGGGAATAAAGTAGTAGTGTTCTGACACAAATATTATTGGAGAAATATTTTGCATTTCATGTATGACACCCTACTTCAAAAGAAAAAAAATCATCTTCTTTTGCAATAGTTTACTTCTTTAAAGCTGCCTGTGAGATCATATTTGATTGTATAATACACACACACATTGAAAGTCCTTAATTAGTAGGTACAAAGGGAAAGCATGAAATGAAGCATGGTAGGCTTGGCAGAATCTCAGTGGGTGGATACGAAGGAAAATATGAAGTCAAACCCACAAGAACTTTAGGAGACCCACCCAATGGTGCTACCACTTCTAAATAAATAAGATTCATTTCTGCATACGACAGACTCACACATTTCAGGTAACTTCTCATAAAACAGGATATATATGTCATACTGCATTGTGGAGTTTACATCAAACACCAGATACTACAAAGAAACTGCATTTCCCTTGTTTTTAGGAACCTAAATCTCTTCCCTTCAATTGTTGATGCAGTTGTAAAAATTTTACTAAATACAAGAAAGGGCCTATATTTATGCACTTGTGTCAACTCAAATTAGATTTGATTTAAAATCAAATTTAGACCACTGAACTTAAGAAGAGGATTTCAATTAAGATTGAGTAATAGCAACTTAAATCAGTTTTTACATGCTTCATGTACTTGACATGCTGTAGCAGCAATATTTGCCACTTTTGTTTTAGACCCGAAAAAGGGCTTCTAGGCTCGGAAACTTTTCTGCTTTTTTCAACCAAACCAACATATTTATAAAAAAATAGAATAGTCTCAACATTTTCTCAATTTAGGTGTTTTATGCTGTTTTGAGTGATAGACATGTTATGTATATTCTCCTTTTCAATATATCTTTCTCAATTTTAGAAGAATTACTCTGAGCTGTGGATAAGAATATTTTAAGAGGTCTACCAAATGACAACCTACATCAGTGGAGTCATGACAGCTTGGATCAAATGCAAGTGAAGTTTTTTTGTTAGGGACATCTGTAGACATCTGCATGTATTTTTGGTGTCTGGAGCATAACTTCTACCACCAGGCTTGCCAGTAACACCATAAACCACAAAAGAGGCATATTTCATTTTCAGAACACTTTAGGAGAGGGAAAAGAACTTGTTATAAACATCAATCTGGTTTTTCAAACTTACTGTACTTTTAATTTCATATTACATTTTAGCTTTTTCTTTATTAAGATACTGAGGTTTTCTGAAGTAGAAGCTTCTATATACTACATCTTAGGTAGAAAAGAAAAACATCCTTTGTAGTGGGTACCAACTTGGGGCTATCTTTTTCTTTTACTATTTAATGCTATAAACTACAGGAATGCAGGGGCAACTTCATGAGAAATTTTTTTTTTCTCTCCCAGCAGAAACACCAGCACTGAATGGGATATGCTGAGGTAGAGAGCTCAGAGAAGAAACCATGAGATAAACTTCCTGGTAAGATTTTTATTTTTGCCAGGAAGCAATCTAAATTAACTAATTTTAAAATTTACTATCTGTTTATATTCAAGATGAACACAGATTTATTACTTCCATCACTTAGATCTTTTGGAAGCTGAACATCAGCCAATAAGAAATGAATAAAATTGATCTGTAAAACAAAAGAAATTTGAATATTGCCCTCTCGAAGCTTTATTGGGGTTAATCTCTGAGAATGAGCACAGAAGCCATGTACCAATGTCCAGACTCGAAAAAACAATAGCATGACAATAGAACATTAGGCATGTTATACCTCAGAAGTGACCACAATAAATTTCAAGCACTCACCTACTGAAAAAGCATTTTATCCCTCTTTGAGGGAATCATGTAACTGCTACATTAATGCATATTAACATTATGCATTTGTATTATGCATAACATTATGTACTTTAAATATACACACAAAATAGAGCCTTCAGTAGTTTCAACTAATCTCAGAACTGAGGTCTTCTAGGCATATGACAAGCTCCAGAAGTCCAGCAGAGTTAAAATGGGGGTCCTGTGCCCATAAATCAGCAGACATTTAGAGAACAATTGTGTAACTTGCATGTTCCTAAACACCTAACCTGACAAAAGGTGTTGAATTTGCTTTGGAATTAAGGATGTTGTGCCTCTTGTGTTACACAAAGAGTGCATTTTAGTAACACAAAGTAAAGATTAGTGAATGTAGCAAGAGAGCAGTTATTTCCAGTTCAGCCACATTCATCTATTCAATTTTTTCATCTATAGCGGTTTTGAAAGAGCAGACAAAGCAGAAAAGGAGGAGATAGCAATGGGGCTTGAAAAATCCAACTGGCTAATTTTTCTCCTGAACTTTCACTTCTGCTTTCCAAATTTTATCATACTGTTTTTTACAAAACTCTCAGCTATCTTTAGGTAAAATTTCTAATTATTTTAGACTTTCCTCAGCTGTTTTTACGGCTTTTAAGAACTCTTTTGACTGCATTTCATTTTGGATGGGGAAAAAAAAAATCTATCTTGAAGGATTGAATTGTAAAGGAAATATTAAATCTTTGTAGACTGTAGAGAAAAAAAAACTATTCTGAAGGCCATGTACATTCTTTTTTAAAATCAGTTTTGCAAATCCCATGAAGTAAGTGTACTTGCTGTCTAAATTAGTGATAACACAGTCTAGAAGGCTGAGCAGGTTTAAGTAAAGCTGTAATTTGCATTTTTAATAAAACATTTTGAGCAGAGGCATCCATCAAAACAATTTATTAAAACTGCAAATTAGAGCTATATTTCAGTTAGCTTTACTAAAATCCTACTACTCACTAAAAATGAGATAAAGTAAAACAAATAGCTCAGAGTTTAAATCAATTTTTTTCTGATAATTATGACAAATAGCATGCACATCATATTTTTATGAACAAAATTATGCAACACATCAGTAGTATTCCCTTTCAATATTCTAAGAATAAAACCTTCAGATTCCATGAGCAGGAATAAAAATATTAACTTGAACATTCTTAATATATAATACTAAATTTACTGAAGTTCACATGGGTTTGAGTTATAGTCATTAGCGGTCATTTGCAAAAAGAGAAATCCCGCCTCTATGCAAGTATTGGTGAATTAATCAAAATGGAAAAGCAGTAGCTGTCCTTGTTACAAAAATATATATGAACAACTGATCAAATTTTTTGGATATCAAATTACATCTATAGCAATACATTTTGAAATGAAACTGAAAACTGTTAAAAGGAAGGTTCAATTTCCATCCCTAATACATTCATTCTGTAGAGAAAAGTAAAAGAATGAGGTATCTTCCCTTTGTTTTTATCAAAAATATTTTGTCTGCCAAGACTGAAACCATTGGCTGTTTCCAGTGCCACTGGATATTCATGTTGATTTTATGTGAGCTGTACAGTAAGTATGTAGAATCACAGAATCAACTAGGTTGGAAAAGAGATCACCTTTGAGATCAGCAAGTCCAATCTGTGACCTAGCATTACCTTATCACCTTATATGTACTGATGTTATGCTGTTTAACTGTTCCTTTCTTGTACTGGGCTACACAAAGTGCAATATGTAAAGAAATATTTAAAGACAACAAGGAGAGTTTCTATACATATACAGGTGACAAAAGAAGGCCAGGGAAAACGTGGGTCCCCTGCAGAATGAGGTGGGGGACCTAGTAACTAAGGACATGGAAAAGGCAGGGCTTCTGAATGCCTTCTTCACTTTAGTCATTACTATCACCACCAGCCTTCTGTTACCCAGGTCCCAGAGACCAGTGGAAAACTCTGTATGAAGGCAGAGACAAACTCCATTCAAATGTTTCTTTTGTTATTCTTCTAATACAGCCCAAGCTTAAGACATTCTAAGATAAATCTATGATTTTCTTCACTTAGTAGCTTACAGATGACTTTGAAAAGTTTCATTTAAATAAAAATGCATTCACACTCTACTAATATATCAACCATTGCGGAGAAAAATTCATGTATACTGAACAGAAACACTGCTTTTATCAACAAACATATAACTGACAAACTCAGCTGGACAGTTAGGCCCTTGTGAGGTGACCCTTTTTTCTGGTTATAAATCAATAAGTCATTAATTATTGCAACTGAATATCTGCTTTCATGCTTCTAAGTTCCTAATGTGACAACAGAGCTCCTATCCTCTGATTTCATCCACTGGCATCCCTCTTCAGTTACTTTAGGTATGACAGTACTTCTGCTCTGGCAATTTCACCAGAAAGGACGTTAAAAATGGTCATTATAAAACCACAGAGCAACTGCAGAAGGTTAAGTATGTGGATGTATTTTTCCTTAGAGGGGATATATACTTAAGTGAATACTCAAAATGTGTAACTTGCTATTTGAGTGCAGTTCTAAAGAAACACCACCTAAGGACACATTTGAGTGAAGGAAGATGGAAGGAAGTTGGCCAAAGTGTTATCAGGGTCAGTGAAAGTTGGTATTGCACTACCCAATCCTATGTATCAGCTAAAAGCCTCTAAAACCTTGCATGTGGTAAATCTGGGACTTCTCACGTATGACAAAATGATAAAAGCAATAACCTCACTTTTTATATCAAGACTAAAAGTAGTAAGTGGTAATAAGTGTCTTTAGTTTAGATGGCTTGAAGGAATAAAAAAACGATTGAGAAATTTCATTAATACTACAGAAATATTTCTGGAATTCAAGCAAATATCCCTGTTTATTCCTCTTGGCACAGGCACTCCTCATAGAAGACTGAGAAACATTTGAAAAACACAACCCATAGGATTCTAATAACCCATCTGACCTAGGAGCAATGCTTAAAATGTCTATATTTTAAATTGAAAGTTTAATTAAAATCAGGAACATTAAATTCTCCATCTAGTACTATCATTATCACCTGAAATACAATCCTTAACGTCCACCGTTATTGTCAAAATAGCCATTCAAATATATAAATATCCCTAGGTTTTGAATTAATAAGACTGAATGTGAGAGTTCCCCACTGCCAGTTCTGCAATCTTCAAATGGCTAAAAAAGGATTATTCTTTACTACATCGTATGTCTAGCCCTATGCAGCCAGATCTCAAAGCCTCTTCCTGTCAATCCAGGGCTTCACCTGGACCTTTTTCTCTTTGCACATTCATCTTTGGAGCATGGTACATGCACTCTAGGGTGATGAATGAAGAACACCTTTTATGTCTAACCACAGTACTGTTCCCAGAACCAAGAAGTAATACAAAAGGGAAATGGAGGAGGAACATATTCATTAAAAATGAGTTCTCCCCCGACAGTCTCAGGCTTGCTACAGTAAGGGAGATCACGCTGGCCATGTACGATATTTATGCTATTGCTGCTGTAAAAAGTTGGAGTCAGATTTTTTTTTTTGTTAAATATATCTTAATACATTTTAATAAAGAACTATTACTTAATGAAAAGAAACTTCTGTTTTGAACTTAAAGTCATAAAACTATGAGCGCTGTAAAATTACTGGACAATTAATTCCTACTCTCGCATACTTTCAAGGTAAAATCCCACCATATTGGGTCACTGAAGGGATTAAGATAGCTTCATCGAGGGCAGGTCTGCTGCAGAGAATGAATTTATATCATAACAAAGGGAGAATGAATAACCAGAGATAGTTAATACCTCAAAATTGCCACTAAGTTAACCAAAAGATCTGTGCTATTCATGTTATTTTTTGTCTTCAGAGTAAACATCAGAAATAACTGGGTCAGGGTTTACAAATATAGTTTTGAAGCAGAAGTGCACATATTAACTCCAAATTCAATCCCTGAAACCTCATCATGCTAAAGTAAATTCAAATTTTGGATGAAGCTTCCATCTTAAATTGTCCCTAAAGGCAGGAACTGCCTTTTCCCTGTAGTTGTGGGTTAGTGTGGCCTATCCCATTAAAATAAGTCCTGCTCCCATAACAACAAATAACCACATTCACCAAAATAATAATTCCTTGTCTCTATGTACAGCAACCATTCCCCATGATATAAAAGTCAGATGTGATACTGGAGTGTGGTAAAATAAACCTACAATTTTGCAACATTTACTTGCTTATAATAATTCACAAAATATTTGTCTTTCAGAAATCTCTTCATGCATCTTAAGCAATTTCTTGACCACTTTTTGTCTCATTGGTGGGTTCCTAGTTATAGAAATATATATATTCCATGAGCCTTTGAAAAATTACAGTGATTCCAAATCCCTTACTATTAGACATATATTTGCACTACATGATTACACATTTTTTCCATCCTCAACAGTGATAATGGAAAGCGAATTAATTTAGAAGCTAAACTCCTGATCCTGCAAACAAACAGGTGCAGATATTTTTCCCCCAAGTACATTCATGGCAATTGAAGAGACAGCCAACATATGTACACAATAAACATATGGATAAGCAGAGACATAGAGCTTTTCTTGCTCCTGAGAATAAACAAGTGAAACTGCCCTCCCCAACCCCCTGAAACTAGAAGGACGTCTTCATTATTCAAAATACAAATTATTTTTCTTTTATACAACACATATACAATTGCACAATAACTTTTGACATAACCTAAATATGTTCTCTTCAGAGAACTGCTCGCACTAATTTATTCTCAGCTTTATTTATTCTGCCTATAGACTCCACAGTAAATAAATAGAGAAAAGTAAAACTTTGTTACGATGCCTAACATGTCTATTGTATTAAAATTGAGAAGAATCATAACTAAAAATAAACTAATCTGGGTTCTTCTGAATTATAATTATTGACTTTTATTTCTGTGATTCAAAAAACTCTCATTTTAATCAAAAGTGATGACATTCTTGTACCAGAGATATTAAAGGCAAAATTGATTGGTCACAGAGGCAAGAATACCCTATTGTCTCTCTGGCTCATGATACCACAGAGTTTTTCTGGTGAAAATTCAATGGTCTTGGAAGCTATTTGAGGGAACTTCTCTTACCAAAAAAACAAAACTAAATGAAAAACCCAATAATGTAATATAAAGTATTTGAATCAAATTCCATTTCATATTGGCATGATTTCCACTGTGAAAAGAAACTTCTTTCAATTCCTTTTTAACCAAAATTTGTAACCAAGTGAACTATATAATTAACTTGCAACAAAGGATCAAAAGGCAATTTTTGAACCAATAACCTCTGTAGCTCTAAATCTGCTTATGTCAGGACATAGAATTAAAAGCAGCTTTGCCCCTTGAAAATCTGTTGAAATAAGTGACTATCACAAGAAAAATAGCATAATTCTTCCTGAAAGCCAAGTACACTATGTTTATTTGATGGCTTTAAACTGCTTGTTTTCCTGAACATCAAAAGGGGACAATGAATTATGGACATTCCTTGTCATTCAACCTTACTACAACATTAAATGTGCTGTATCAGAGCCATGAGCTCTTGTATCAGGCTTTAGTTAATTAAATAAACCTGCTGAAAATCCAAAGGATATATTCCCAGAACTCCTTTTCTTCTAGTATTCCCTAATTCAAGGTTTTTTTAATGGTTCTGATACAAAGCTAAGACATTCTTCTGTTTCCAACCACTGGTCATTATTCAAACTGATGTCAGTCTCTCTCTGTACACTTAAAGATTAAAGGAAATTTCTGAAATATTTAGAATTATTTCTCCCCAGAATTATAGCTGGATGTAAATGGCATAAATAAGAAGTGCTGATCAAAGTGGGGAGGTATTGCAGAAGAAAAAATTAATAATGAAAATATTCAATAATTTTAACACAACTTTTTTAGCCCACTCTGAGTGCTTTTCTCTCTTTTACTGAGCAAGTAGAGACAGCTTTGCAAGTAGCTTACTCTCAGAATTTATAATAAATATCAAACATACCATACGTTTGCCCATGCTTGTATGGAATTTTAAGTAGCCAGCATAGTCTAGAGTTTCAGCAAAGCTTCCCAAACAAATTGGATAGTTATGCTGACTAAAAATGAAGAGTCAAGACTTCCAAGATTTCATGTTGGTTTCTGCGTCTAATTCACTGTCTTATTTTCACAAATCATTGCAACTGCTCCTCAATGTTAGAAAAACAAGGTTTTGCTCTTACACATGGCCTTTGAACATGAAATCTCAAAGTGATCAAGGAAGATAAGCCACTCTTAATGTATTTCACAGTTGAAAAAAGTGATTCAGAGAGATGAGGTCACTTGTGCAAGTTCACAAACTTAGTAAATAATAAGGATTGAAATAAAAACCAGATGGCCTGCATCTCAGTCTAGGATCTTATTCAATGCAATGTATTGCCTCTATAATGCAGTGGAAAGCTGAGTTGTTTTATGACAAACAACAAGAATAAGCCAGCTAACAACCTCTGTTAGACAATCCACTTTATCACAAGCATTCAGTGAAAAATCAGAAACATGTAAAAGCAAATGTTAACAGGAGCTTGTACATTATTCTTACAAAGAAATTTAATTTCTTTTGTAATAAAAAGAGTGGCACAAGTAGTCAAAGGGCACAACTGCTAACAACAACTGTCTGAAGCTTGTCTGCTTAAGCAATAAAAAGTGAACTTTTAAAAGCAAAAAAAATAGATGATTGCATGAAGAATAAAATATAAAAAGAACTAAATATGAAAAGGGAAAGGTAAAGCTTTCACTTGCCCAAAATGTACAGCAGGTGCTGTTTATGACATAGCAAGAACAGCTTGTGCCACTCGGGAAAGGTTTACTTGTTTGCTTATCTTTACTTATGTTTTAATTATTGTTCTGAATTGCTTCCAAAGCATTTTTCCTGTCTCTTCATCCACTAGCAGAATCTTTAATGACTGGATAAAGACTACATAGAACAATAGTTATAGAAAGTTGGTTTTTTATATTGTCATTTTGTAGTAAGTAACTACATCTATTACTGAAACTATATATTCTGATTTCTTGATTAGCTGTGAAACTTGAAGCTTTTTTTCTGAAATTAAGATTTTTTTTAAGTATTTACTTTGCTGTCTGGAGTATAGGATTTTGTAATATTATTTATAAGAAAATGGAAATTTTAAAATTTTGTCCAAGGTTCTTATCTGACGCATCACAGTATAACTCATTGCTACTACATTTCTCAAGGTACTTTTTCCCTCTTAGTAACTCTGAAATAGCCCCTCATTAGCAACAACCCTTAAAAATTATTTGATGCAAAACAGCTTCTGATTACCGCTTTTCAAGCATCTGAAAAATATCAATGATTTGACCCTGAGATTAAGGGTTTAGGATGGTGAAATCTGTGTTTATATTATTGGCAGATAACCAGCAGTACATTAGAATGCAGGCACTATTATTGAAATATTAAGGTTAGTAACTTTAAGAGAGTTGGCAAAAAAACCCAAAAACCCAAAACACAAAAAAACCCCAAAAACCCAAAAAAACAAAACAAAATGCCTCAACCAACCAACCAAAAAAAACCCACCCCAAAACAACAAAATAAATAAACACCCTGAGACAAAACAGAGGAAAAAAACTGTAGTTCAAATCCAGCAAGTTAGACTAGAAAAAGATGAACTCACATAGTATGCAAAAAAGCACCCAACCAGTCAGATAACATGTTCATATTTTTAGCAGAATATGTTTAATATTACATAATCTCGTGTGTTCTTTATAACTGAGAAATATACCTGCAACATCTGTTCTCTTTTTAGGTTTTTTTTTTAATGACAATAAGCAGAAGTTTTACAAAATCTCAGGTTGCTCACAGGTCCTTTTAATATGAGTGGTCATACAACACATTCTCTTCTATTTCAACTGCTTTGTAGCTGCCTTGCTAGTAAACACCAAACAGACATAAAATAGACCATGGTTAAACAGACCATAATAAATATAATGGTTTCATAATTATGTGCAGTTATGGTCAATAGATTTTTAATATTATTTTTACTATATAAATAAACTATCAATTTCAAAAAAAGAAATTATATAACACTGTTGTGACTATACCTAGAAAAAATGGAGTTTGATAATTTGTACCTTCTTCTCAGAGGCTTTTAAGGGTGATCTTTCCTCTACCACTTAACATCCCTCTTTACACTTTCTTTCCTAAAGTCCACATTTTGCAAAAAGCAGATTCCAGGAAATGAAGTTACTTGTTTGGATACAACTGCCAAAGCCACTTCCTGTACGCACTTGGCAGAAATGTTTGGGGAAAAAAAGTCTTATGACATTTTTCAATCCAACCAAGCTGGGCATTCCATTCAGCCACACAAAACCTCAATTTAGCCCCAGAACTGTACACCACTAGTACATATTTAACCACTCAAAGCATTACAGTCCAGTAATAATAAATTCATTTTTACATTTCTCTGGAAAAATAGTATCAAACAGGTTCCAAACAAAAAACACACTGACTACTTCATCCATGCATGACCTGATAGTATTGCATTTTTTCCATTTTGCTATTTTTCCTCTCCTCTCTCTGTACAGCCTCACATGCAAATGCACTGTAAAGAGTCACTTATGAAAAGCCTGCAGAGAAACTATTCATTGGAACATGACATAACATAGTCATTGTTATTCTTGGCATTGACACTCTTAATGCCTCATTCAGAGGCAGATAAAAAGGACATTTTAATGAGAAAGCCTCTATAACAAACACTTGGGCTGCTGCAACAGGAAATCATGAAATACATGATGCTCATCAGATGAGCTGAACAGGCTGTCAATCATATTTTTTTTGACTTTGTTAACAGGTGTTTTACCAGACCTTGCCCTGCATAATGTCTATTATGACAAAATTAGGTCTTTGACTGTAACAACACAGTTTTTCCAAACCAAGTGTTTAAAAGTATCAATAAAGAAAAAAAAATCTGCTGTTAATCTGGTTGCTTTAACTCCAGACAATCTTCTTCATCTTAAAGACTAACAAATTTACCAAAGGGATCACAATTATATATGCCTCACTTTAAAAACTGTACTTCTTCCTACAGCACTAGTAATTTAAGGAAGCTCTATTAAATCTAAAATGTGACTCCTCTGAGGCCTCTGTCTTTGAACTTTCAGTTCTTGGGTGCTACAGGTAAATTAAGGATGACAAGCAGCCACTTCACAACTATTGTTTCCATTTCAATGCACATGAATTTCAAAACATGTATTACTGTCCTTTCTGCCCATTTCCCATTCAATAACTCTCTTGGGTTCACTTTTCATTTCCTAGTAACTTAGCTCTTCCTTCCCTTGAATATTCAAGTCTCTCTCATTTCTGATCTTATTCACAGCTTCATTAGGAACACATCCTAAGCCACATATATTTTTGCTCCTTTCTACCCTATTTACAAAAGAGAACTCCAATCCGTACCTGCCCATTCCTTTTTACCCCTTCCAAATAAATTTTCCCCTCCCAGAGTTCAGACTGTCAAGTGTGAGGTACAATAACTATTGTAGTATCAATTGCTTCCACTGTCTACTCCTACTACAGTTTCCTGGCAGCCACAGTATTTTCACAAGAAAGACAAAAGTAGTATTCAGAAACACATTTGCTATTTGTAACCAGCACATGGTCTCTTAATTTATTCCATTAAACAGATCAAAAAGATTCCTGACATTTGAATAAAAAAAGTCCAGGAGGAGAGTGTAAGACAGAATAAAAGACCAATCATCTTTTCATTTTTTTCCTTTTTTTGGAGTCCCTCTCCACTGTTTTAGACATTATAATAGAATTTTTCAACCCAGCATTAAAGTTATTTTACTGAAAAAGTTCAAGACATGACTCAATTTACCCAAGATTTCTTCCCCTAAATATAAATTCAATGATTTAATATTAAGAGCTACAGTTAACAAGTTCAGCCATAGGAATATAAAAACGTACATCTCTCATGGTTGGCACCTTTCAATCTATTCCTTCTTTTTAAAAATCTGGAGAAAATCAGACTTTTAAGTGTGCAAAACAAGAAAATCTGGAGCACCTCATGAGAATGCCAACAGTGAAGACATTTTTGAAACAATAGCCGGACCACAGATCTTCCCTTTTGTAATAGAGGCAACTTCTAGCAGGGTTTCTTAAAAAGGCAGGTCCCAAATGACTGACATGTCTAGGCCAAAGGCTTAATTTGAGAAATATTGTAGAGCTGCACCATTACATGTATGCAGAGATCATTTCTGTTTAACAGACAAGCAGATACTTTTTGTACCATATTAAATTTCAAACCAGTTTAAATCTGTAGCTCTACGCAGAGTACACTGCAGGAATCAAACCTAGGGCAGCAAACGCATGGAAGGTTGTAGCAAAATCATTTATTTGGAAAACACTCTATTCATTTAGGGCTTGTCAGTCAGAGATTAAAACATGCCTATTTATTTGAGTCTAAAATACCTCAAAGTTGTATTACAAATCTCAAGTAAACTTTCTCTTCAAGAATGGTGATGTTCATTCTGAGTAGCTCTTCCCATTTTCCCATGATGCTGCATAATAATTTTGTGGATTGAAGTGGATATGTTAATATCCCAATCTCAAAGAAGCATTTGTCAAAATTTTAAAATCAAAATCAAACAGGCCACATTCCAAAATATAACTATTCCAGGCAATCTTTTTTTATCTTTGAAAAATACCTTTATTTTTATATCCAGTTTTATTTACCATTAAATCACTCAAAGTTATACCTAAGAGCAACACATGATAGCAACCTGCAACAATTTACAAGGGAAGTTAGACATGGGAAAGAAATTCTCTGGACTTAGTCTTGCTTCTTCAAACAGTAAGGATAAATAGATTAAAGTCCTAATTCACAAAGAGTCGAAACATTACATGAGTGTTTGATATATGATTAGGTCCAACTGACATCATAGGGAACTAACAATACGCCTACAGAGATCAACACCATTAGTTGTTTACAGATGCCCTAACTATAAATCCTGCTTGGTCATGCATAGATACAATGAACCTCATGACTGCCTTAGACCTATCTTTCTAAGTACTTCTCCTTTTTCTCACTAACTTAGCTTTGCAGGCTATGTGCCCAAACTCGGGATTCCCCACAAGAGCTGGAGATTATTTACCCTAAGTTATTCTCATTCAGCCATGCGGATGTTTTGATCACCAGGCCAAGTTGTTGTGCTCAGAAAACAAACATGTAAAAGGCTGAGCTATAAATGTCTAAATACTTATCATTTTAAATATGCATATGACACATCAGAAACCAGAAGAGAATAGGTTACATACATATACAGAATTATAATAGCAAGTTAAAACAGGAAGAAATAATAAATCTTGTGCTTTTGCACTTAATCTAAACACTAAGTAACAGATCTCAAGAAAGAAACCAAACTGAACAACAATTTATCAATCAGCAGTTTATGCTGGGTTTTTACCCTTCCAGTGAATTATCTGGCTTTGGAAGAGATGCAGGTATTTCCAGCACTTTTATGCCCAGGAGGTGGTGCAGCTGTGTATTTTGGCAGTGACACAGGAACATGCCCTCTTTGTATTACCTATATTATTGAGACATACATATGGAGAAACTGGTTTGATTTATTTTGAGGACTAAGAAAAAAACCTTCCAGTGTCTTCCTGAAATAGAGTGTAAATCACAGACACATAGAATTGTTAATGTTGGAAAAGATCTCTGAGGTCACCTAAGCCCAAGATCAAGATCTCCAAGTCCAACAGTCAACCCAGCACCACCACCATATTCACCCCTAAACCATATCCAACTGCTGTATCCACACTTTTTTTTAACACTTCCAGGGATGGTGACTCCACCACTCCTCTCGCCAGCCTGCTCCTATGCTTGACAACCCTTTATGAGTAAAATTTCTTCCTAATATCCAATCTAAACCTCTCCTGGCACAACATTGAGGCCATTTCCTCTTATCCTGTCACTTTTTACCTGGGAGAAGAGGTTGACCCCCTCCTCATTGCAATCTCTTTTCAAGTAGTCGTAGAGAGCAATAAGGTCCACCCTGAACC